TTATATTTAACAAATGGAAAAGCCTTGATTGTGCTCTGTTCTGCTGTAAAGCACACAGGAAGCTGCTAGAGTCTACGCTCATCTATATTTGGAGAAAAACGATCGTGACGCTAAGATTAATGCAAGAGAAATCAAATCAAACCATTTGATCTTAAGCACTAAAATCAAGAAAAAAATCTGAATGAAATGAAATATCTAATTCATTAAAGATTAGTTTAAAATATATATATATAAATGTGTTTAGTTAGCATGTATTGTTTTTTAAACCAGCAGTGCACGTCAAAGTGGGTACTGTTTCAGAGGATTCAACAGTTGATCAAGAAACAGTAGACTAGAAGTATTGCAGTCGAAACGCCGCGATCTACATCATTCGTGACTCTATCGTGAGACAAACGAACAAAGTTCATATCCTAACTTACACCACGATGAACGATAAGCACATATTTTATTACAATAGAAAAATCACTCTTCAGTCATTTACCCTTGGTGACCCCACAAATGGTTTAAGGTACTGGGGCCCATATTTTACATTCTTGCAGAACTTTCGATCGTTCTTTTCCCAGCAAACAACATAAATTACAGATTTGTAATCGTATTGTATATTGCAGACATGGAGCTGCAAAATTATTCAATTCACGGGAAAAAACTAAGAAATACTGCCACTCTACTAATATAAACATTGCAAAAATGGTGGGTCATCCAACCTTTTCCTCTTTTGTTTTTTTTGCTCCTCCTGGCTGTGCCTGTCCTTGACTTTTATTCTTCGATTGCTGTCCTCAAAATCTTTTTGTTGTCCATTTTTTGTTCGTATAAATAACATGCGGTCTTCCGGTTTCTGACAGGGCCCAGCATGCACCCTCCCTCCACCCCCCACCCCAGAGACTGACGTTGTTCTTAATAAGAGCCTCTTGTTGATTCCTTTCGATTTCGAGTAATGTGTGTGTTCAAAAATACTATTCGATTCGATTCCAAGTTAAACGCCGAGTTTGACTCTGTCTTAAGGACACCATTCTCGTTAAATCGTTTGGTATGCTCGTCTCTTTTTGCCGCAAAAAAACACCAAACATGCGATCAAGACCAACAAAAGGACACCTCCAACCGTTATCACAGCTATTTCCCAACTTTTAAGGCCTCCAGACTTAGACGACGAGCCTGTGATGATGGAGAAACCACAGTTAGCCATCAAACTCACCAGATCTAATCAATGATTCTCCCCTCTAGCTACTTAATATTTCCTTATAAGTAAGTTAAGAGAATCTAGTCTTGCATCAGAATGAGCAGCTCCAGCTCATAAGTTTGTCTTTTCTCAACATAAGCTTGTGGGTAATGTATGCGGAAAATGTGAGATGCTATCTGTTTCAGGAGAATTAAGGTCTACAAACCACATTTATTTTTTTCATCTCTTCCAAGACAAAGTATTCAACATTGCGTTTTGAAATTTTAAAGAGTAACCCTGAGTAACTCTTCAAAAAAATCCTGAGTAGTTATCGCAAAATAACGTGGGTCACTGAGAACACATGAGAATTCATGAGAAATTTACACCGCATATTTGTCATAATATGTCACCAAACCATAGTTTTGGAACTTTGTGTTTTTCACACTGAGAAAAAACAAACTATGAATCGCAAATTCAAATACACAGAATAAAAATGAGGATTGCATTAGACATTGGGACGCATAAACTGGTACCACTTAGGGTAAACGTGAGAAAGTTACGAATAGCTTACCTGTGGGTGTTTTTGCTGTGTAAGGGATTTCTATGGAAAAAAATGAATCATCACTATTATTCCCTGATTGACTATTAGATGTGAAATGGAAATTAGTTAATTAAGCAACAACTTCTTATTGTTACCACTACTATTATTACCACTATCACTATTATTATAATTATATTATTTCCGTCATTATCATCATAATTAATTATATCATTTATATATCATCTTCAAGTCAGCAGTGTATCACAGTCAAAGTGGGAACGGTTTCAGACAATTTAGCAGTTGAGCTAGAAACAGTAGAAAATCATTCTTTAATCATTTACCCTAGGGGACCCCACAAATGGTTTAAGGTACTGGGGCCCATACTCTACACTCTTGCTCAACCCTTTCTTACTCAGCAAACAACAAAAATTTCAGATTTGTAATCATATTGTATATTGCAGGCATGGAGCTGCAAAATTATTAAATTATTCATTTTTTAACTACCACTACTATTACTATCACTATCACTATAATTACAATTATATTATTTCCATCATTATCATCATTATTATTTATATCATTTACATATCATCATTATCATTACTACTATTGTTGCTACCATTAGAACTGATAGCCTGACTCTACAATTTGAGACAAGTGATTAAATGTGTTCATTTATCAACAGTACATTAAGCCACAATATAAACAACAACATTTTCTACAGTATTAGTAGAAATGATTACTACCATCATCATCATCATTATCACTTTTTGGTACCAATAAGTAAATAGTTTGATATTAAATACTGTAGGTGATAATATTGGAGGATGAGAGGTGGGCAGACTGAGAAATTGTACTCACCTCCCTCCTCCCCTCCAAAATAACAAAAGTAACAAACAAACAAACACACAAACAACAACAACAAACAAAAAGGAATAGGAATGGGCTATTGCAATAACTCTTACCAGGAGGAATTCCACATTTTCCTTGACAACAGCAAGCACTGGTCAATGATAAGTACTGTTTGAAGATATAAAGAACAGCATTTGAACATATGGTACAGATACACTGTGAATCAAAATAAATTGTTTTTTCTTGTGCATTGCTGATTTTCAGTTCTTGATTTTTTTAAGTTATTCAGTGTAGGCAAGCTCAATTTTGTCAAATGATACCCAAAATAAAATTACTATAAAACTCATTCTCAGTTCAACTCTTAATATTCACTCTTTCTTCTGAAAACATACACAAAGTCCAAATTTTATTTTCCCTTTCATTATCTAACTTTCTGCCAATCTCAGTGCATGCAAGTTTGAGTTCCAGGCCCTGCCTTTTGGTATGACACTCCAAATATCTAATACTGGTAATCAATTTTAGTGTTATAGTATTCTTGCCTGCCTGAATATTCACGATGAACAGTGCAAGATGTGTAATGTATTAAAGTTAACAAATACATTACATGTTGAAATGGGTTTGTTCAGTAATAGATCACAGATGATGTAAAAATGTAGTACAAACTAAAAATTGTTACAGCCTGTTGTGTCAAACATGTTGTTACAGAACAGGCAGAATGCAATATGCAACAATTTAAGAAGGAAAATTGTTCTTAGTGGTGATCTTTTCATCCCCCTTATAGATCAAAAGTCAGTACTACTAAAAAGGTGTGTATAGGTCAGGGCAGGGTTTTTTAAAGCTGAGTTAAGATAATCCAAGGTTAGTGTGAAATCTGATTTCAGATCTGATAGCTTTAATGAGGCTTCATAGGGTTTTTCGGCTGCATGAGATCTGGGCATGAAAATTAAGCACAAGCTCTAAAATTGTCAGCATGCAAAACAAATATGGTGGCTTGCTACTATCGCACCATTGTTATCTGAAAAGGTGTGTTTAAGACAGTTTTTACACAATATAGTTTTTATGTAATAGAATCTAGGGTTTCCAGTAATTGCACCTATAACATTCATAGGCCTTCTATGCCTGAAAAAGAGGTCAACCAAAAAGAAAACATAGAGGGAAAAGATTGCCAAAAGGCGACAGATTTGAAATTCTAAACATGCTCAGATACTGATCTTAGCAAAGTTCTATCCCATTACCTAATATTAAGCAACAGAGAAAATAGGGATCTTTCAAGTAAGATTATCGCATTTCAAATTATGAAAATTTTGAGAGATATTTCATAGAAGCAAATTGAAGAAAATCTAAGGCAAAGAAAATTATTGCTGGCGAGTGCCTCCCTTCATGGAACCTTAGCTTAATAAAGAAAATTATTTTTATAATATGTACTAATGCAAACAAAAGTCTGAACTTTGATCACTGCCTTTTTATGGCTTTTAGTGACCTTGAAATGCAAAAACATAAAAAGTTTTCTAGAAAAACATTACACTGACGTGCATACCATCATTGAGCAAAAACCCTAAGGAGTCTCCTTAAAACAAAATTCAGTCAAATTCTTTTTGTCTGGAATGAGAGTATTTCATTCTCTAAAAAGAACACAGGAAATTATCCCGAAAAGGCATTTGAATAATGGAATAAAAAAACTCAGATTAAAATTTAACCTTGGGTTAGTGCTTAAGTCTGCCTACAAACAACTGGGTCCTGCTTGTTATGTAAAATAAGTACCACTTTAAAAAGTGGTTAGGTAAAGAAAATATCAACTCCTGAAATGTTTGACATT